TTATCACAAATAGCTTAAATATATTATTGAAGGATTAACTAATTTTATTCCAAAGAATAGAATGCCTATCAAAGAGGCTTTAATTATTTTAAAGGGAATTATTTCTTTTGAATTTTAGTTAGATGAAATGCTTATTGAGATGATAGATGGAAACACTCAACAGTTCACAAGTTCACTCAAAAATTAAATTGAGTTTGTTAAAGAATTGTCAAATAAATTTTATCCAATCATGTATATTTGTTTATTATAATCTAATCTACCTCTTTAGTTAAAATTTTTAAAGTAAAAACGAACAGACCTTAAACTAAGAATTGAAAGAAGACCATCAAAAAGGATACTATGTTGATTAACAAATTTTTACTAAAAATATCCTCAATTTATTCAAACTAATTTATAAAAAAGGAAAAAAAAATAGAAGAATTATAGAAAATAAATCTCTAACTATAATAAAAAATTGGTGAATAAGAAAAAACAATTAAAGGTTTATTAACCCAATTAGAATAATCTTAGAATTAGTTAGCAAATCAATCTTAGATTATGATGATGCCAACGATGAAGACGAAGTAGGAACATGTTTTTTTTTAAGAAATTGAAAAATAGGAAATGAAAGATGAATAACCAAAAGAAATAAACTAACTGTAAATTCTAAAAATAAGTTTTTAACAATCAATAAAAATATTATTAAAAAGAAAGAATAAACTTTTCACTAGTTTACTTCAAAAAATTAATTAATTTTAATATTATAAAAAAGCATGTAATTAATTAATTCTTTTCAAAAATTATTAATTAAATAAAGAATTATCATTCATTTAAAATATTGAATAGCCAGTAATTTATTTAAATTTTTAAAATCTTAATAATCTTATTTTTTAAAATTCTAGAAAGTAAAATCCTTCAATTACTAAATTATTAATTTAATCTCATATTTTAATAGCAAGTATATTTATAACTCTTTAGTTATACTTTTTCTTTTTTTAAATTATCTTAAACTATTTTAGCACATAAAAAAAGATGTAATTTTATTCAGTCAATTTCAATATATCAAAATTTTTTTAATTTAATAGGAAGTAAATCACTTTAAATATCATGGTCATCTAATCATAATCATATTCCTTTAGAGGGTCACATTTTTATTTATAGCTATTACTTAATACATCTATTTCTCGAATATAGATAGTAATCTCTCATCCTTTCCTTAAAACATACTAAATTTACTTATATATTTAAAATAGCATGTAATTTTTTATCACAAAATGCTCAAATTAACTTTTATATTCAAAATAGCTAGTAATTAATATTTTAGAATGATTTTTGATGAGAAAATAAATGCTGAATTAACTTTCATATTCAAAATAGCACGTAATTAATTAATATTTTAGAATGATTTTTGATGAGAAAATAAATGCTGAATTAACTTTCATATTCAAAATAGCACGTAATTAATTAATATTTTAGAATGATTTTTGATGAGAAAATAAATGCTGAATTAACTTTCATATTCAAAATAGGAAGTAATTAATTAATATTTTAGAATGATTTTTGATGAGAAAATAAATGCTGAATTAACTTTCATATTCAAAATAGCTTGTAATTAATTAATATTTTAGAATGATTTTTGATGAGAAAATAAATGCTGAATTAACTTTCATATTCAAAATAGGAAGTAATTAATTAATATTTTAGAATGATTTTTGATGAGAAAATAAATGCTGAATTAACTTTCATATTCAAAATAGGAAGTAATTAATTAATATTTTAGAATGATTTTTGATGAGAAAATAAATGCTGAATTAACTTTCATATTCAAAATAGCTTGTAATTAATTAATATTTTAGAATGATTTTTGATGAGAAAATAAATGCTGAATTAACTTTCATATTCAAAATAGCTCGTAATTAATTAATATTTTAGAATGATTTTTGATGAGAAAATAAATGCTGAATTAACTTTCATATTCAAAATAGGAAGTAATTAATTAATATTTTAGAATGATTTTTGATGAGAAAATAAATGCTGAATTAACTTTCATATTCAAAATAGCCTGTAATTAATTAATATTTTAGAATGATTTTTGATTATATAGAAAATATCTACATAATATTAAGATATCTTATATTGAGT